CTACGGCAAATCCTGGCAACCACCCCTAAGGGTGTGAATGGGGGTATCCAAGGTTCAAAAATTCTCCCAAAAAGTTTTTTGTTTTTGTTCTCCTAAGTGGTAATTCGTGAAAGTACAGCCCTTTGGGCGCATATTTTGTCCGTTTTGCTCTATCTCTAACCGTTTAGGCGCTAAAGGGGCTTTTTTGACGAAAATAAGGTAAAAATTGCCATAGTGATCAATAAGTTGCAGAAAAAGGTCTAAAGACCGCAAAATAGGAAAAAAATTCTCCCCCCACCCCCAATAAACGTTTTCTAAGCAGAAGGGTGGGTTGTAGTCGCGGTGCTTCACCGTTACATCCCTTTCTCGTGTCTGCGGGGCAAATAAAGCATTCCGGTGAATCTGAAATGCAGAAGAATGCAGGGAACAAGAAAACGGAAGTCCCATGTAAAAGCATACTGATATCCGTTTTCTTCTTCCTCGCATTCTTCTGCATTTTAGCTTTACCGGAATGCTTCATTGAATGCCGAAGGTCCGCTACACCACTCGTTCATGTTCTTCAGCAAATCGCGTGACAGCCATCGCCGCCGGCAGGCCAAGCAGGCCCGGCCCCTGCTGAACGGAGTTGCCGGCGAAGCGGAGCTGGCAACTTCGTTTGGCGGAAGGGCGGGCCTGCTTGTTAGGCCTTCTTCTACAACTAATTGTTCACTACAGCAATTCTTAGCTTATTTTTGTCAAAAAAGACCCTCCAGCACCAAAACGGTTAGAGATAGAGCCAAACGGGCGAAATTTTCGTTCAAAGGGCTCTACTTTGCCGAGTTACCCCTTAGGAGATCATAATATACTATATCTTTTTCGGACTATTTTGACCTACCACATTTTGTTTGATGGCCCCTTTCAGCCCCTTAGAAGTGGTTGCCAGGATTTGCCGTAGGCGTTTCGTTTTCTGGAAGTGAACCTTAAGATACTCTAAAAATTTTAAGTCTGTAGCACATCTCCTTCTAGTGGAACAGACAGACACACACAGACACGAGGTCGTTTGCATAAGCCCACTAGATAGCTTTTCTAAAGCAGAAGGGCGGGCTAAAAATCGTCGGGCGCAGGGAGGTGCAGTACCGTCCTTCCCTTGCCTGCTTTATGTGCTCCTCCCTCCGGTCGAGCAGATCGTCGGAGCACCCTATAGCGTATTTCGACTGAAAGAGGCAGAATAGTGTATTCCGCTGCAAGCCAACCGGAACCTAAAGAAGAATAGCACGACTTCTCGATCTGTTTCCCTCTGCGCGCTCATTGGCTGACCGCCACAGCCACGCCATCTTTGGCCAATCGGCGTTCAGGAGGAAACAGATCGGGTAGTCATGCTTTTCTTCTTTCGGTTCCGATTGGGTTGTAGCGGAATAGGGTATTCCGCTGCAAGCCAACCGGAACCTAAAGAAGAAAAGCATGACTGCTGGATCTGTTTCCCTCTGCGCGCTCATTGGTTGACCGCCACAGCCACGCCATCTTTGGCCAATCAGCGTTCAGGAGGAAACAGATCGGGTAGTCATGCTTTTCTTCTTTAGGTTCCGATTGTGTTGTAGCGGAATGCCCTATACCCTATAGCTGGAAGAACATAAACCTTACCGATTGGTCAAGAGCTTCCCACCTCTACGTCACGCCGGTAGTGGGGGTAAGCGCTCGGCCAATCAGGAACCTTTTAAGTTCTACCCGCTGTTCTTCTTCCTCCGTTAGTCGGCATACACTGTACACTACAACATTACTATCACAGCCTTGGGAAACTGTAAGGTCTGTCTCAACAGAGTTCTACTCTCTGGAGCCCAGATTTGAAGTTAGTGGAACTAAAGTGGATGTTTGGAAGGCTCCTCCTCGCCCATCTTCTACACCTCTGCTCGCCTGCGGCCCAACCCCCACTCCGGAGTGTGCGCACGGCGACGCCCCGCCGCCCCGCCGTTCCCAGTCCAGCTCGGCTTGCTCCCTCGCCACAACGGATCCCGAAGTTGGTTTGGTCTGTCGTACTCAGCCTGTGGGCGTGGCGGTGTGTGGTATTAAAGGCGGGCGTCGCACTTCCGACGAGTCGACTGCGGCCCGCGCGTCTTATTGCCATTGTAGCATTGTAGCAACATCGCCCCGTCATCTGCAGTTGGACGTCGTAGAGTGGTCCCCGAGCCATGGTTTCTCTTCAATTCCGCGAATTCGACTTCGAGGTACGTGCATGGTTAACAGACCATTTCAGTCAATGTCAGTGTAAGGCAAACGGAAAATGAAAGAAGGAGCAAACCGGGAGCTGTTTTCGGTGGGTTTCTTCTTTCTTTGCCCAACTTGCCCTCACAGATCTAGACTGAAAAGGGTCTATAAAGCATTCCGGTAAAGCTAAAATGCAGAAGAATGCAGGGAAGAAGAAAACGGAAGTCGCTATGCTTTAGCATGGTGACGACCGTTTTCTTGTTCCTCGCATTCTTCTGCACTTTATAGCTTTACCGGAATGCTTTATTGCGTTCAAATGATGTTGCTTTATTAGGGTATTTCGCTACAACATAATCAGTCAATCATTCCGGTAAAGCTATAAAATGCAGAATAACGCGAGGAACAAGAAAACGGTCGTCACCATGCTAAAGCATAGCGTCTTCCGTTTTCTTCTTTCCCACATTCTTCTTCATTTCAGCTTTACCGGAATGCTTTATCTGAACCTTAAGCAGGAAAACATGACTGCCCGATGTATTCCTCTTGAACACTGGTTGGTCAGCGATGGCGTGGGTGTGGCGGTCAGCCAACGAGCACAGAGGAAAACAAATGAAGCAGTCATGCTTTTCTTCTATAGGTTCTGGTTGGCTATTTG